GTTTATTCTTTTAATTTATTGATTTAAGATTTAGAATTTTTATTTTTTTCACCCACATATTTTAATATGTACTGTGAACTGCCATTTCACAGTTTTATCACTTACATTTAGTTGATCCCCTCCAACCTAATTTTCTTTACTGTTCTCCTTTACAGCATTTTAATGAAAGTAAAAACATTCAAGGCAAGTAAGACTCCTTCCCCAGCAGAGGAAGTTGTTCATATCACCATTGAGCAAAAATAATCCAAGCAGTACTGGAAAAAATGGATGTAGAAACAGTATTCAGACATATTCTTAAAAAATTCAGCAAGGGTTCTATCTATTTGAAATGCAAAAAACAGTCAGCATTGACTGAAATTTGGAAGGGGTATATTAGGAGACCCAAAGAACGCAAAACGATAAAAGCAAAAACTTTAAGATTTCACCATTGAAGTCCACATCTTTGTGATCCAATTCAGTGGGGTTTGCTCCAACTTAATTTTCTGAGGTTTAAATGTCGTGTGACAAAGCTTAACTGTGCAATTCTGATTGTGCAATAGTTCTTAAATAAACTAAAGTTAGTTCTCACTACATGTATATACTAAAGCTCACTAATCACAATCCTGGGACCTGGGATAGACTGAAGTACTCACGTGAACAGAAGTTGATCTCTGTTATGATTTTAACAGCTACACTAGTTTGAAAGAAATAATCTTGCAAATACAGTTTGACTTATTCTATCAGACAGCAGGGGACTTTTTGTTGTATGAGCCATAAAAACTACAAAATCTTTGCCAAAGCCAAGTTCAAGTTATCTAGACAACAAACAAATCTTAGAAAACATCTTTTTTCACAAGGTGAAAGTGTATGAAGCTATGAAGCTTCTCAGTATCACACTTACAAAACAATGATTCTTAAAAGTTCATGAAGTCAATATAATTTGACAGCAAATAGGCCCCTGCCAAACAGAGTCCACTGCTGGTTTAAACCAACACTCTCAACAACCTAGAACCAACACTATAAGACTTGACCAGATAAACAGAAGCAAGTTTCTCACATTTTTCATATTTGATGTCTCACATGACCTCTTGAAAGCTCAAAGTACTGAAACACCTGGATGACTACTCTCCAACTACAAGGAAGGCATTTCATAAATATGTTTGCAGCTTCTGAGATTGAAATGCTCAACATTAATAATGGCAATTGGCTACTGTAAACCTCTGGGATGGTGAAGTTTTCATGGTATTTCTCTTTCCCTTTAATGACAACAGCTCAACCCCACAGAGCAGATCAAAAACCTGACAACGTCTCAAGAGGCACTTCCCAAGGTCAGTCCAAAGACTGGATGTCCACATGATTTATTACACAAGAAATAACTTTGTACCATACTACACAAGATACATTATTCAGCTGCATCACACAGCAAAATTCCCCACATGATCCCCTACAGAAAAATGTGAACATAACTGCTCAGCATTAACACAGATACTCAGCCTTCAAGACACTCCCAACTTTTGACACACAGAGTACAAAGTGGCAGCACACTGCACGTTATATGGGCTCCAACACAGCTATGAACCCCCACCAGCCACTCAGCTTGCATCAGCTTGCTCCAGCATTTGTCAGCAATTACATTAAACAGGACAGACAGGAACCTGACTGTAAAGAAAGAATGAAAGTTTCTACTTCTTAGAATTCTGGAAAAAAAAAAAAAGAACAAAACCATGCAAACCCAACAGTGGTCTTTGTACTCAGCTGCCACGGACGTGCCCTGTGGTTTCTGCAGCCCCTGATCACAGGTAAGGCAATGCTGAGTGGACACTTTCAGGATGGCCAGATTTATATCCATTAGCTGTGCACATCTACCTCTGCCTCCTCACTCAATTCGGACTTGACCTCTCACAACTCTTAAGACAGAGTGATTCTCGTTAACCAATCTGGGACATTTTTTATGCCCTAAAGCATCTTTAAAGCATATTAACATTATCATCTGTTTTACCTAATCAGCCAGTATTTCTAATGTGCTTGCAGCTGTGAAATCCAAAGGTAGAATCACTAACACCATGATTTCCCCTTCTCACCTGGATAAGGAAGGCAAAGACCTTTCCTCCACTTAAAAAAAAACCTCAAATACTCAACACTTTCCTTTTCCATTTAAAATGTGCTATAAAAAGACACAGTACTAAAATTTGACATTCATCCTCACTTAAACTAAAATCATTACAGAAGATACACCTAAGACATCACTAAAATAAAAACCTATCAATAAAACTAAATTGAAAAAATCCTTATTCTTCAAATTCCAGAAACTTTTATAAAGCAGAAATAAAAGTGTCACAAGTTGTTACAGTTTATAAGCCGAAAGACTGTAGAGATTGAAAGACCACTGAAGTAATCTTAGAGGACATTCAGAATTCTGCCAACGCTACATTTTTGCTGCAGAAATCCTAGGTTCATTCTCTTCAAGGTGGATTTCAAGTGCTAGGAAGCAAATAGTACTAACTCAATTGGATAGTGAACTGTTTGCTGTGTCAAAGCTTTTTGCCAAACACATATATATAATTTTTCTTTTCACTATATGGATAATCAACCCCAGATGGCAATTTACATAGGCAAAGCATAAAGGAATCCACGCACTGCTGGTGTTCTCAGCCTCAATCAGAGCAAGCATGGGCGTTTGAGAATGTCACTGTTTATTTTTAATTGCTGTGTCCCTCCTTTGTGCAGGTTCAAGTGGTCAAAGATGTCAAAGTCCATTAGTAGAATTGGAAGGTGATGCCACTTCATTTGGTAAGAGGGTTCTTTAAATTTAAAAAAAGCAGCTGGTCTGTAATGTCCCCAGATGCCCAGCGGGTACCAGCTGTCAATCTCAGTTACCATTGGGTCAGGGCAAAAAAAGGTCAGAGAGAGTCATAAACCACAATGTGTTGTGAAATGTGCTTCCTCCATTACCTTGTAGGCCTGAGAAAGGTTTGACCTTTTATAGGTATCCTAACCCAGCTCTGCATGATGCTGGCAGGGGTAAGTACAACACACAGCTCAAACTTACAAAAGTTGCTTCCTTTTACTGAGCTCTTGGCTCTTGGTTTTCATACCTGTACAACATGAACATGAATATTCACAAGTTGCTTGTTGCAAAAACCCAAAACTTTGCCCACCACTATTGTCACTCAGAGGCATGGACACATCTATTTCACACACAGCAGAGGAAGGATTAATTCATTAACAGCAAATGGAAAAATAACTAAAACTTCCAGGGAAGTTGTTAATGCCATAACAGTCTAGCAATCTGGTTTCTCTTTGCAAACAACCTGTTTATCTGCTAAGTTGGCTGTCACTTCAGTGACTACTCTCCCAGTCACTTGGGTGGGAAGAAAGTCTCTTTTAAAAAAGTCCCATTTAAGACTTCCCCTACTCTCCATTTGCAAGTTATTCACTATCTTTTTGTTGTTTCCTCCTTCACATAGATTCTCAAAAAGCAGTCTTATTCCTAATCGTATTTCTTCAAAATGTTCTTGGACTATATATGAAAAGCTCCATGGTCACTTGCAGATAATAATCTAGTGATGCATTCTTTCTTTGCAAGAAATAACTGCTCTCTCTCACTCCCATCTCCCAGAGCAGAAAATGACAGGAAGTTTGGCCAGTGCTATGCCAAAAGGAAAGCAGCAAACCCTCGCATATATACAAGGCCCTGTTTGGGCAGAAGATATCTCACACTTATCAGCCTTGCACTCCTAACTACTTGTCCCTCTTCGGACCCCGAACGCAGGCAGGTCCAGGATTGTGAAAAGGACACAGAAAAACAAAGGAACAGCAAGGAGAAAGCAAGAGAGGTTGAAACCAGAGCTACAGTTCCAGCAAGCATATTCCCTGCAGGAAAAAGCACAGCTCCCAGAACAGGCTGCATGCTGCAAAGGGAGAACATGGGCAGTTAAGAACTTCACTCAGAAGCAGACATGACATCATGCAAATCACTTCTATGTAAAGCACAATATGATACAAACTAGATGGCCATGGGTATCACAGAAGAAGCTGGCCAGAAACTGATTGTCAGCTGACAACATATTTCAGGTGAAATCAAAATGCCTCACTTAGTCCTTCTCTTGTCCACAAAGCACAGTCAAAAATGAGAAAAGAGCATGTTTACTCAATGAAAGAATAGGGTTCTTAAAGTAATGACTTGAAGATAATACCAACAACATGAAAAGGGGCCAATTCAGGCTTGCTGAGCCAAAACTTTCCTGTTTCCAGAATGTTACTGATTGGGTCCGCTTTTAAGTGGTAGCTGCAAAATACTCCTCAGTCTTGAGTTATTTTGAGAAAGTCAGTGCAAATCAGCACATGTGGAGTAGACTTTACCTGTTCCAAGCATAAAATCACCTTATTTTCTTTTGAAGGATGAATATGTTTTAAGGTAATTAAACAGTAACAACAATTCAGCAGTTCAAAGGCCATTGAAAGGCTCCTGTGACTTTCTCCAGGCTCTCTGGAGATCCCAACGGCAGCAAGCCACCTACTGCATTCCAGCAGTTCTCCCAGAAGACGCTGACATCAATTAAACCTCAGCAAACAAAAAGAATGTATATCAAGCATTTCAATGCCCTCTTCTTGTCATTTCCTTTGCTCCCAGACATTTCTAGAAGTCTACCTGCTCAGATTCTTTTGCAAGCCTTCTCACTGCAGCATGTCTCACACGAAAGTAACCTTGTTCAGTCCTTGGGCACATCCTGTCTTGGAAACATGCCCACCTTGCTTTTCTGAATTTGAAAGTCTAACATGCTAATCTAGGTCAGTCTTCTCCCCTCTCCACCCAACTAAATTACTGAGCAGGTAACTTTACTGACTGCCTTATTTAAAAATCACTATGTCTCTTCCTGTTATAGTATGGGTTATAGTAGAGTACAAAAAACAACCGTGAAAATAATGGAATAGTTTCAGATTGGAAGAGAACACACTCTTCTTTGTTGAGTGTCTCTTTCTATCAGGAAAAACAGGGGGAGTGAAAATGAGAGACTCACCTTCAGGGCAGGAATCTCCACACTGTCACCAAGGCTAACAGAGCCAGAAAGAATAGTCCCTGTCATCACTGTGCCTTGACCCTTGATAGAGAAACAGTGGTCGACTGCCATAAGGAAGTGTCCTGAGGGGTCTCTCGATGGCAGGTACGCCTGAGACTTCAAGACCTGAAAAAAAAAAAGATAAAAGCAGCACCATGCCTGGGTGAAAAGTCATGACAGTCACACAGCAAAAGGAAGGCATGCAGATGATTGATTGAACAAGTTTGCAATTTTACTGATTCCAGGCATCTCCCAATGAGCTTAGAACGCACCAATGTCAAATTAACTGTGTGTGCCACAGAGGAGACGCACACTTAGCAGCAGGAACAGTTCGATTTTCTGCCTTAGAAAGATTTGGTGCTGCACATTTAGCTTGGTTAGCAAAACTGCACTGGCGATAAAGTTGCTGCCAAACCCAATATAAACACTGCAGCAAAGCAAAGAGGGGAAAAAAAAGCCCTGTACATGTCATTCTGCCTCTCACCACCCCCCAACCCCCAAAAGTACAATTTTACAGTGCATTTTGCTACTTCAGCTTTTTTGGATTTTCTGAAAATGAACTTATATACAGATATTAGTGCCCCATAAAGTCTATCTCTGTCTCCCTTCCCAGGAAAAACTATTATACTGGGTTAAGTTTTCAAAGTCAACTTCTCCTTCAGATTTCTGTTAACACTTCTTTGAGGATCAAACCACTAAGAAAAAACAGTTACCTAAGTACCATTTTCTAGAGGAATTCTCTGAGATCAGTATTTCTCTTTTGCTGACAAATACTATGTTTCTTAAAATGCATCATCACAGACAGAAGACTTTAATTATAATAATGCAGTCATGTACCCAAAAGTGCTTCAGAGGAACTGTTTTGCTCCTGTCTCAAATCACTTTTGATCTCTACTTCTCTTATAACACCAGCATATACACTTGGCACTATGTTTAACTCAGTTTTTAAGGTCAAACTGTAGATTAAGTCCAAATTGTAATGGCAGAACAATGGAGAGCATCTCTTATGAAGGACAGAAAGGGTAATACCTTGAAGCTCAATGGCAGGGCTCACACAGCATTTGCCAGCTCTTCTAATATTAGGTCTCAGAGTTGACAGAAACAGCTGCAGCATTGGTATTTCCTTCAAAAGGTTTTAACCCTGGGGAACATTCCAGTAAATCTACCAGGAACCAGCTGAAGGCAGAAGAAAGGACTTGCATATGTCCTCTCTAGACACTTCTGTGGGTGGATTGGTTCTTACTAAGTCTATTCTAAGGTCATCCTACATCCCATCCCCATTCCCATCTCAGGTCACACAAGCCTGGGAGCTGATACAGCACTCACTGCTCAGCAGCTCTGTGGAATGTCCTGCCTTTATACAAGCCAGGCCAGATATCCCTAGAGTGTTTGTTGACTGATGCTGCACCTTAACTTCAGCAATTTACAGTTTAACATTTGGCAGCATCCAAATCAGAATCTGACAACTCTTCAAAGAATAATGCCTCTGTTTTAGAACTACTTTCGGCTGTTTGCAAAAAAAAGCAGCATCCCTCCAGGGCAAAGACACTGCTTTTGCCTAAAGCTAATTCACAGAAAGGGTGGCAAGTCTACTATAAACTACAAACTGCCCTCAGTTATTTTAAGTGTCCTGCCCTTCACAGTATATGCTTCATGCCATATAATTTAGGGTTTAGACCATCTGAGAAGGTATTCTTCCTCCCCCACCCCCCAAGAAAACAAACAAAAAAAACCCACCAAAACACCACAACCAAACAACAACCCACATCACTGGAACTGAGGATACCTGTGAAGCAACAGTTTGTTTAAAGTCTTCTCCTGTTCACATGGGTCTGATATAATGTTAGTTGCACAATCATGTAGTTTTTCCCAGGCCCTATCTCATTCAGGACACAGCGTAAATCCAGGCCATGCTTTTTATCTTTTGCAGATGTGTAAGACATGCAGTAAGCAAGGCAGGGTATCAGAGAAGAAGATGGTTTCAATCATGAAGGCAGGCAGTGCTTCTTTAGTGAATGAATTCTACATTTAGGTCAGAATTCCCATGTATTGTCATTTTCACAAAAAGGAAGTTTCTACCGGTAAATCACTGAGTATGCACCTCAGACTGTCCAAACAGAAACCCCAAAGTTTAACAGAATTGCTAAGCACTCATAACTGAAATCAGAATTGGGAGGTACTACGATCTGAACACAAGCATGTCCCAAAATAGTTCCTAGTTTCCTTAAATTTGGCAATTAAAATTAGTAAACTCAGTGGACTTAGCTCCTTTGCGCCTCAATTTTCCAATCTAAATATGGATTAAAGTCACCTCTACAGTTCCCATAGGTGTTTTGGAAGTAAATTAACTGTTTGCCAAGTACTCAAGACCACAGTGATGCATGCCAAGAAAACTCCAGGAGGAAATTAATTACTCTGAATGCAGAGCAGTATTTGAATGGAGTTATGAGGCCTCACAGAGAATAATGAGAATTAAAATAAAATATGGACTACCTGTTCACTAGCTGAGTCCTGTTCATCCTGAGTAAGAAGCAAGGTCAGGGTTGTTTAGAATAAAGAATCATGAAATGAAACACTGGGCCATAATACACACACGATGGAAGGAGACAATGTCCAACATGTAACTTTTGAGCGTCTGACTTAACAACTTTACTGTTTTCTTAACTATGGGTACAACCATAAAACAACACCGACCAAGGACTTGGTAGATTTTTAAAGCTATTTTTTTTTTCACTGTGCTTCCTAACTCTCTACAACTTTAAAGACAATTTCAGTACACTTGTGGATGGTCATTTCTTAAGATACAACTATTCATAGGCTTTGTTGCCTAGTTGTTGAAAAAGGAGATCCACTTTTGGGGCATGTCACTTCAACTTCTCAATTCACTGAAAGGAATCCCTAAAGAATCAGGTTCCTTAAAACTGGAATTAATGCAAGAGTCTAGATACTAATACACTGTACTCAAAAAGACTTCAGAGAAAAGTTTGAGCATGTTTTATGTTATTATGATGTTCTTCAGCAGGTACCTCAATTAATTCAGAAACACCCAGTGGATTCTCAGACTCTGGGGCTTCCGGACCACCGGGCTTTGCTGCAACAGCAACAATAGGACACCCAGAGAACCTGAAAGAGAGAAAGACTCCCACCATTAGACCACAGATCTCCCATATGTGTCAATATAAAGTAGTTCCAGGCTCACCTGAAGGCTAGAAACTCCCTGAAATCCCAATTTCTTTGCTCCTCCCTCACAGAAAGTTACAACTTACCAATATAAAACTATTCAAATACAAAACAGCTACTTTCCTCTGCCTATTTTTTTCCACCTTTTATAGAATTTCCTGATAACACCACAATAATTTCCCCAGCATTGATGGCAACACCTACTCCACAGCTGCAACAGACATCAGCTTTGCTTACTGCTGTGGAATTGTACATGCATGCTTGTATGTGTAGTGAAAATCATTATCAACAAATAAACTATTTAAAAACAAACAAACAAAAAAACCCTCATTGCCAAGTGTCTGGGTTCAGAGGCAGCTGTCATATGGTCTCAGCATATGTCCTACTAACAAGAGTAGTTTAGAAACAAAAAAGCAGTTAAACATGCATTTGGAGATTCAAAGTCAGTGGTATAGAGGCTGTCAAGAAACACCCCATGCCTGAGAGACAACAGGACAAGCACTTTGCAAATCAGCCAGGTCAGCAGTGCTTTCAAAACACCACAAAGCACAAACAGCACATGCGCAAACGGAATTTTTGTTCTCTCCTCTGTACGCTGAATCCTGTTCCTTAGATTCTTCAAATCAAAATGTGACCCAATAGTTATGTCACCTTACATCCCTGACAAAGCAAAAGCTGTGCTTCAGTCTGTGTAATCACTAAATAAGTATTTTATCTTCCCACTTCAAAACAGCCACATTTCCACTCATGAACCTCACTACGCTGCACTCATTATGTGCCTTAACTAATGTACTGAAACAGGTCTGACAAATATTGTCCCAGCCAGAGCCACATTATATAAACTTCCATCAATGCCCCATCTCCAACTGGGGCAATCACAGTTTTCATCCTCATTTAAGGAGATCTCCTAACACTTGCTTTTTCTCTGGAATGAAACAGACTTGCAGATCATAACAAAAGTTACAAGCCCAAAGGTTAAAAAAACAAACAAAAACACATAAGAAAACAATGAAAACACCCCCAACACACCCAGAAAACACCTACCCCCACAACAAACAAAACCAACCAAACAGACCCAAAGCTTTTCACCTGGATGTTCTTTATGTTATTAAACTGAAAAGCTTAATTATAGGAAAATATTTCTCTACGAATGATACCTGCACATGCGAATTTGGAACTACACTTGAGTTTCCAGCAATCTTTCCATTCTCTTCTCATCATCTTTGCTAGATGTATCAGTATGCTTAAAAGCACATTGTAAGGGAAATGCTGGTGCTTTTGTTAAACATTTTGTTACAAGTCAGGTGTTAATATCACTGTTCACTTACTTAGTATTTTCCAAGGTCTTCTGCATTTTCTTAGTCATCTTCTCAATGGCACTTTGTCTCTTTCCCTCTGGAAGGAGATCTATTTTGTTCAGAACCACCACCATCTTCTGGCAGGCAATTTGCCCAATTACCAAGCACTCTGCTGACTGTGTCTGCATCCCTTTTGTCACATCTATTACAAGCATCATCAAATCGATAATCTGGGCACCTGGAGGAGAATTCACAGTCAGTATTGCAGCAGCATAAAAAGATTAAGAATCATTTTCTTAAATAGCTTCCATAAAAAAAATGCCAGCAGATGTACAAATACCCAGAAAGACAAAACACAAGTCAAAGGATGCACTGACTGCATGGTTCTTTGGAAATTAGGACCTCAGGAATTTAAGCTGTTAAATGCTACCATCGAGTCATAAAAAATACTGAAGAATGCAATAGTTTACATATTCCCCCAGTGCTGATAGTTCAAGTCTAAGGTTGTTATCACTGTGTTTAAAAAAAGTGCTAAGAAAATTAACCTTGCAGCAACACAAGCATGACTTTTGCCCCAATTAAAAATTATAATCTAGGAAGCCAAGTAGGAATATGACAGAGTTGAAGAAATACAGCAACACCGCAGAGAGTTGCACGGTCAGAGCAACCCCAACAAGAGCCAACCACGTGCCCCATAATTACATCAACAATCCTCAGTCCCCACCTGCTTCCTACCCTTTTTCATTCAAAGCCCAAAATTTGATAAAAGTGAAAACAAAGTGATCACCACCAGAGGCAAATTTATCCCAAGACTAAAAAAATTCCTACAATCCCTCAACATAAAAGGTGATTTATAAACCTGCAATACATTGCCATTTACTCCCAATTCACATCCACATAACTGTAACATGTAATTTCAAACACAGGCAAAATGATCTGACTCTTAGACCCCTTCATGAAAAAGTTCCTAAATTTTATGCTGAAGTTACCTATCATGCTTATGGATTACTTTAAAAAATCAAAGTATTGTTGTCATGAACCCTTAATCTTTCAATTGAAGCAATCTGAATTTCATGGATTTAAATTAGTTTTCAAGGAAGCGTTTGATGAATGTTGGGCCTTCCACTAATTATATTCTGAATTTTCTTGTTTCATTCCAGGTAACAGAAATACTCTGAATACCAAAATAGTAAAAAGTGCAACAGACCTTAATATTGACAAAGTTTAAACATAAAAAACTAAAAATAAATAAATAAATAAATAAATAAAAAATTAAAGATGAACTACCAGAAAGTCTTATGTCAAAA